AGGGAGGGTGTCTGAAGGGAGAGGACCAGACGCTCTTCAGGCGAAAGGCGAAGTTCTTTATTCTCAAAGAGTTTTTATACAGTCGCATATGAGGTTACATGAGGTGAAGCTAGTATAATTTAAGCTCAGAATTTTTCTTGCTACAAATACCAGGTGTTCTTGTTTTATACTGAGAACTCGGGAAGGAATCAAGGCCGAGTTCTTCTTGGCAGATCTCCCATTCACGGCATATTCTTGGAGGTCATGAAAGGGACATGTTCCCAGCTACAGGGAGCAGTTCGGGGGTGTCCCCACCCTTGCCTTAAGGCAGGCAGGGACATCCCTCCTGCTCTCCCTGCTGGTGGTGACACTGTTCCCCACACCACAAGATTGCAAGCAAGGAAAATATAATCTGAATTTCTCTTCAGTGCTGATGATGATTAACCAGGTAACTCCATAATGCTTTGTTACTGAGGCCGTCCATGTCCAAGTTCTCACAGCTTGTGGGCCACCACTTTGCGACACGTCTGAAACAGCAATCACCAGGGTTCCTAGAGGCCAGTGGACTCCATCTTCAGGCAGCTTGGGCTCCTTACTTTCAGAGAAATTTTACTGGAGAAATTTTATGATTATCTGTGTATAGCAGCATGGTGTAAGCGATTCTCATCAACCTAAACTCATTGTGGAAAATATACAAGGCTAATATTGAAAGTCTAAAACTTCATGAGTCCTAAAGAAAACTTACTTTATTGGTGGTTTTCCTCTTAACTGGCCAGAACTTCTGTAGTATTAGTAACTTGTTAAAAAAACTAACCAGGCTTCATTTTTTTTTTTCTAGCATCTGGATTTTTTATTGGTTGCTTTTTTTTTTCAAGCCCAGCATTTTAAAAAGTCACCTGAGGTAGTAGTCAAGAAGTGGAGGTAGGGACGGGCAAAATGGTCACTTGGGAGGAGGGTGCCAGCATGTCACAGGTCCTTCACATGTAGTACCAGGCAAAGAGTCCAGCAGCCAGGGCCACACTGGCAGCCAGAATTAACTGGAGGCTGGGCTTCCTCAGTACACTCATGGCTGTC